TCTTCAGAGATCATGTCGCACATGGACGGTGTCAGCTCTTTTAATCACCGCTGCAATAAGAGCGCTCGTACCGTCCAACCGCGACATGTTAACTGAAGACGAGTGTACTTCCTATCAATATGTGATGTTTATAGTTGCAGATTCGAAAAGCAGTGTTTGATAGTTGCCACTCAATCAGAGAAAACCACCCAGTCAATACGAACCGAACTGAAGATCCGCAAAGAGACCTGACCAGAGTATACTTTACAGAATTCAGATCATCATATTCGTACGGAAGGCGATATATTGGTTACCTTTCCAGATTCTCAAGCAGACAGATAGACAGATATTCACCTTTATGTCTCTATGGAAACACGACAGGTACCCTTACGAGGGGAGAGTATCAACTCGGCGTTTATAAACCCTCTCTGCAAAGGAGGTAGGCGCATGGTGGGTTAGGTATATACAGTGTTCTTCATTGCAGAGAAAATTGTTGTTTATCTGAGTGTCTCGTATTCATTGAGATAGTTGATGAATTGATGAATTACAAAAATATATCGCGTTCTAGTTACAAATGTTGAAAATATTATTCAGGAATGTTTCAGATTCAACATCCATGTCCCACCTCTCATGAAAATCAGTATAAATTTTTATAGACTTCGATATTTTTTGATGTCATGTTAATTTGCAGATCTGAGAAGCAAAGTGTTGATACTTGTCACTGAATCGGAGAAAACCATCCAGTCACGACGAATCGAACAAAGAAACCGCAAAGAAAAATGGCCAGAGAATACTTTACAGAATTCAGATCCTTATTATATTCGTACGGAAAGCGAAATATTGATATCCTTTCCAGATTCTCAAGGAAACAGATGGGAGAGATATTCACCTTCATGTCTCTATAGAAACACGACAGGTACCCTTACGAGCAGGGGAGAGTATCAACTCGGCGTTTATAAACCCTCTCTGCAAAGGAGGTAGGCGCATGGTGGGTTAGGTATATACAGTGTTCTTCATTGCAGAGAAAATTGTTGTTTATCTGCCTGTCTCGTCCTCATTGATATAGTTGATGAATTACAAAAATATATCGCGTTTCAGTTACGAATGTTGAAAACAATATCTAATATTCTATGTAGGTCTCAAGATTTAAATTTGAAATTGATCCTTAGTTTTAGATCCGAGCAGCACATTGTTTGGCCTTTTTCATATAGTCCTTAATATAACCCACGTACGTAATTGAAAATGTGGAAGATGCCTTCTGTAAAAAACACTATTTGGAAAGAAAGCGGATATGTAGCAATACAGTCACGGACGTTGAATATATTCTTCAGGTATGTCTCAGATTCAACATCCATGTAATTTATCTAATGATATTTATTTTCTGATATGAATGTACTTCGATTGATATGTGATGTTCTGTTGCAGATCAGAGAAGCAGTATTTGATACTTTTCACTCAATCGGAGAAAACCATCCAGTCCATACGAACCGAACAGAAGATTCACGAAGTGAACTGACCAGAGTATACTTATGGTGACTAGTTATGTTTCATGTACTTGGTATATTATGATTTGATAGTCTGACATTGATGTGACATTTTCATACCATAATAACAACTCAAAGTCTTATAATTTGTATCAATTGTTTCCACAATTTGGTGACCCCGACGTGATATTATGGAGCAGTTGAGCAAAGGCGAGATCATACAAAGGACCCCGCACAAAACCATTGGGAATTGGCCCACAGTGGGATTTGCCTGAAATTCGCCTATGTTATTGGTATGGAGTTTCTGATCAAATGTCTTCATGTGACCTATCTTCTAAGACCAAAGATTTAGCTCTCAGGGCCGTATTTAATATAGGTGCCAAATAAACAATGACACTTTTTTTTTCAAGCTCATGATTTTTGTATCTCCCATTATAATTTAATTGAATGTGAAATGTAGCGAAATCTTGGCATTTGTCTTTTAGCACAAGTCCTCTGTAAAACATGCCTCGTCCTACAGGACCGTATTTAGTAAAACTGTATTTGCCAAAGTGCCGAATCGAATTGTTTTTGTTATTACTTTCTTATTTCTTGTCCTATTTCAGTGGTTGTTTGATAGGTGAATGTAGATTTCTTTGTGCACATAACAAAAGTGGTCACCATCTTAATATTCAAGATGGTCGGCCTAACATTTAATCTTTATGTAGGACATATCTCGTAGCTTTTTAGGAATCATAGTAACAGGGAAAGATAAGAACACGTTTCTATTGTTGAAATCGGTCATTTACTTTCTCAATTACCTAACACTATAATATAAATATAACTCTACTATCTAATTGAAACTTCATCTAATTCATTACTAACAAAGTTGAAACCGATATTTCTTGAATATTAAGATGGTGACCACTTTTGTTATGTACACAAAGAAATCTACATTCATTTTGGAAAATACAGTTTTACTAAATACGGTCCTGTAGGACAAGGCATGTTTTACAGAGGACTTGTGCTAAAAGGCAAATGCCAAGATTTCGCAACATTTCTCATTCAATTAAATTATAATGGGAGATACAAAAATCATGGGCTTGAGAAAAAAGTGTCATTGTTATTTGGCACCTATACTAAATACGGCCCTGAGAGCTAAATCTTTGGTATTCGAGGATTGGTCACATGAAAACATTTGATCAGAAACTCCATACCAATAACATATGTGAATTTCAGGCAAATCCCACTGTGGGCCAATTCGCTATGGTTTTGTGCGAGGTCCTTTGAAGACATGTCAACATCGATGTTAGTGATTCGATGGAATTTTTGGATATGAAGAAAATGCTGACAGAGTACATTAAAAAAACATATAAGGTCGAATTCCACGAAACCGACTACAGGAGCATTATTCTTTCAGAGATTTCATCAAGAATCATACCAAAAATGATGTTTCGAATACTTACTATTTGCACGAAGAAGATCGATAGACTTGAAGAATTGTGCGAAATTCTGATCGTCAAATTTGATGAAAATAATAAAAAATATGATTCGTTGGAAGCAAGACTCGATATTTTGGAAAAACATCGTGAAAGTTCAACATTTCCAAACAATATCATGCCTCATGACATCATCTCCTCAGAAGACACATCATCTCTGGATATTCCAAGAAAGAGCAAGAATCAATTGAATCAATTAACCTACCAACTTTCTGGGAATATGAGCCTGCATTATGGTTTAATGTTGCTGAATCGATTTTTGGAACACACGGAATAACTTCACGGAGAAATAAATGTGGGAAAGTGATTTTAATGTTGGACTGCAAAATTGCGCTCTGGGTTGTTTTGTAGGTCTCTCGCTGATGTATATGTTTTTTTCCTAATATCCATTCGTCTCAAACACACTGTGTATTTTTTAAATATGCATCGGTAAGATTGTAATCTGCTGCTGTTTTTTTGCTCGCTCTGTATATATATGATATTTCTAAAATTCATTCAGCTCATTTCCATCAATAAGATTTTGATCTGGCTCTGAATTCTTCAGCTCACTCACCCTGTGATAAATTATAACATTCCATTTGGTTCGAGATATTTTATCTGCCTCTGGTTTTGTAGGTCGCTCTGTATAATGTTTTATCTGATATTCATTCGTCCCGAACACACTGTATATGTATTCATTTTCCGCTACGCGTCGGGAGACAACAAAACCTGGAGCTAAAATCTACTACCTACTTTTTTCCTTGTATATTGTATAATATAGTTATTTTTTCTGTGACGGGAAAAAAGTTTGGCATTTCATCTCTGTTGGCAGGTTATAAAATGTCACTTTTCATAAATTACTTTTTTCCCGTGGGAAAAAAGTGAGTACTTTTTTCCCGGATATATATTACATATATATACTCTGTTAATGGCATTTGTTCTGCTATAGTTCCGAAAAATGGGTCAATAATACCGTCTCCGAGAAAGAACTGCAAGTCCTTTTATCTTCCATTCGACTTCGCGGTTTCGTATATTACTAAACAACTACTGAATTCGCTATTTTTTAAAATCAATTCACAGAATTGAACTGACAGAAGTGACATCAGATATTTGATTACTTCAAAAGAATGATAAAGATGCCTATAAAACGCAGGTGTCCCTACTGTTAAAAACTTAAAATTTCACGTCGATAATTTTCAGATTTCTCAATATTGATTCGTCCTTCCTTCTGTCACAGAAAAAAATAAAGTATTATACACGGGAAAAATATTAGATTTTAGCTCACGGTTTGTTGTCTCCCTCCGCTACGCGTCGGGAGACAACACAACCTGGAGCTAAAATCTACTACTTTTTTCCCTTGTATAATAATAGTTATTTATTATGTATTATGTATTTATTATGTGTATAATACACTATTTTTTTCTGTGACAGAAGAAAGGACGAATCAATATTGAGAAGATATTACATTATTTTGATATCTGAAAATTATCGACGTGAAATTTTAAGTTTTTAACAGTAGAGACACCGCGTTGTAGGCATCTTTGCATCTTTCATCATTCATTTGAAGTAATCAAATATCTGATGTCACTTCTGTCAGTCTAATTTTGTGATTTTATTTAAGAAATTGCGAATTCAGTGGTTATTTAGCAATACACGTAACCGCGAAGTCGAATGGAAGATGAAAGGACTTGCAGTTCTTTCTCGGAGACGGTATTATTGACTCATTTTTCGGAACTATAGCACAACAAAAGCCATCAACAGTGTATATATATGTGATATATATCCGAGAAAGAAGTACTCACTTTTTTCCCACGGGAAAAAAGTAATTTATGAAAAGTGACATTTTATAACCTGCCAACAGAGATGAAATGCCAAACTTTTTTCCCGTCACAGAAAAAAATAACTATTTGTATTTGAAGGAATGAAAAAAAACATGTTGTCTGCCACTGGGTCTTCGGCAATGCTCGGAGATTTTGGCTGTTATGTTTGGCTGCCATTTCAACTTCACACAGCTTGTTAAATGCTAGGTTAGGTAAATATGCTAAATTTAGGTTAGGGGATTTATCTGGAAATCTCGAGATTTTCAATGAAAAATTGATAATATTCAATAATTTGTGAGAGTTGTTTGGAGCTGTTCAATTTATATAATATAAGAGTATCAAAATGAGTCTATTCAGAATAAAGACAAGCATTCCCCCACGACTCTTCCACTGTAGATGTTTTGCCACAGCTTTACCAAATGATGAAGAATACACAGCAACCCCACATTACCCTCCTATTCTTGACATGTCTTTTGAAAAGAAGTTGGAAAGGAAAAAAGTAGCTAAACATGAGGAAATAAAAGCAGTAAAAACTGTGGAAGAAAAACAAATCAAACTAAATATGCCTAGATTCTATGGATTCAAAAGTTATATGCTTAATGAAGACTACTGTCCATACAATAATTTGGGACTTGCACAGCATGTCACTAGGACTCATTTGATTGTCAATAATGAGCTACCTGAATATTACAAAAACATTGATGTTAGTGGAGTTGCCCTTAATCTAAAATCAGAAATTGAAGAGGCAATTGCTGTAGAAATTGATGGATACAAGTAAGTTATGTGTTGAATTATTAAAAAAGACAAGTTATATTCATTTTCTGCATTGTTCCAGTATGTAAGAATAATATGGAATAATATTAAATTATTGCACATCTCCTTTGAAATTTTACAAGCTAGAAACAGTGATGAAAATAAAAAGTGTGAAGGTAAAATATCAATTGATGTATGTACCTACAATCATTCAGTTACCTAATCAATAATCAAGCCATTAATGTCAAATATGGTTCAATATCAAATTATTGATATGTATATAGGTATGGAGATTTCGCACCCAAGAGAAACCTACACCTACTTATATTATATTTCTAATTACCTACAGTAATTATTTTTGTTGATTCTTCTATAAATACACTTGGAACATTGTGCCACAATAAAGTTTAACCATTCCCCAGTATATACTCTATAGTTTTTTTTACATATATCTAATTGTCCAAAATTCACAGTCCTATGTTTTTAAATTGTATAATTGAATTCAATGAAATAGTAAGTGTAAAATACCCATCCATATCTAGACGGTAAAAGTCCCTCTGTTTTTTTTATTCAACATTTTTTTGCTACAATTATTTCAGTGATCTGTAATCTGTTATTTTTTGTAGCAGTTATGTGATGAAAATGTTCTTGAACTCATTACCAAACAAGTGACCAAATGATGAATAGTTGATTGATATGTTCATATTCAAGATCTTTCAGGTTTATTGGTTTATTCTTTGCAGTCATGTACCTATTTAATTCAATGTGATGAATGAATATTCTTTTACTTCCTTAAAAAAATACATTTCCAGTAGTTTATATATTTTTTGAACCTCTGAAAAAATATTAATCTTTGTAGGAGAGAAAATGATTTCACAAATGATGACCTCACCAAAGTGGAGATGGAAAACTTGACAAGTTCATTGATAGTTAAACAACTAAACAGGATAATAAAGAATGAAATGTCCACAAGTCATCCACACATGAAAAATGCACAGGTAAAAACATATTCAAATGTACAGGAGACTTATTCTTCTGACTAGTAGAATTATTTTCATGTTATGCCTTCAGAGCAGTGCATGTACTTAGTACCTTGGGATACCATGCTGATGTAAAACTAAAATTTATTGATCTCAAGATCATGACCATTTTGTCAAGGTACATAGGTATATGAATGCATTGTTTATGAGAAAATATTAGTTAGTACAAAACTTTAAGCAACATACATAATCACTATACAAGAAAAAGAGACAATATCAGAAAATCTAGAAATGCTTCACTCTTTTATGCTCCAGAATTTCATAATAAACTACCACACCATATCAGGGATTTTACAACAAATGAACTCTGAATTATATTGAGAGATTACTTGATTAAGAAAGCCTTCTACAGCTATGATGAATTCCTTAACAGCAGAATCCAGATGTAATGTACTTTTTGGAATGCTACATTGAAATTTTCAATTAGTTATTTGTAGTTATTGTGTGACACCTATTTTTTATCTATTTTATCTATTTTATATTGATTTTATAGGTATATTTCTATATCTGTACTTGTGTTGTTGACCTGTGTAAAACTTGATGTTTATTAACACTAAATAAAATATTCTATTCTATTCTATTCTCCCAAGCATAGGCGCCGGAACTTCAAAATACCAAGAGGGGCAGAATAGATTAAGAATATATATATATATATATATATACATATATATATATAGATATGTTTTCGATACAAGACGAGATCATTTGGTGATATAAGTTGAACAAGTGGAGATCCGTTTTGACAAGCCGAGATCCGAAACGGATCTCGACTTGTTTCTATGTGTATATCATCTTTGTTACGTTATCCTAGGTCAGGGGAAGGGGTACACAAATTTTAGTCTGGATCTCCATTTGACCATTTTTGTCAATTTTCATACACTCGTAGTTCTATCTAGCGCTCTGAAGGGGGCGCTGCGCTGTGCGCCTTGTTTATGATATTTACTCGACAATATGAGATCCAGTATATTTGGCAACGTCGCATCAGAGATCTCTCAACTAAGTCAGTGTTGTGTTATGAATTTGAGCTTTATTTTGTTAGTCTATTTCGGCGACAAATTCAATATTTTCAGAATGTGTTCCTTATGTTGGTATATTAATTCACATGTTACCTTCATTCCGAATCTGATGATAATCTCGTACGAGTACATCGGAGGCAATATATTATTTATTGAGCTTCTCGTCTTTCAATTACAACTTGGTTGTAAAAGTTGAAGGGTACAGTATATTGTTTAACGATCACGGAATATCGTCATTTCCCACGAGAATGAAGTTTGCAGCATGAGCCTCAGGCGAATTCTGCAATCATTCGAGGGGGAAATCAGCATTCCGTGCGAGTTATACACTATAATTTTTCTACGGCTGTAACAGGCAACAGCGACATTCTTGATTACTTCGTCTTGTAGTCATCTGATTTTCTCCCAAGTAATGCTTCATCTATCAGACAGAGCTGTCGCATTGCTTGTGATTTCACATTCCATGGGCGATGAGATTTTTTTGAAATAATATCACAAATCACAATGGAGTCATTGTGATATCAGATACGGAAATAAAATTGATGTCATACAAAGTACCTCAGAAATGTATCGAACACAGTGAGACAAGATAAATTTTGTGTTATTGCCGTAGAAAATAGTATATTGTTTAACGAGCACGGAATGATCGTGATTTGCAACGAGAATGAAGTTTGCAGCATGAGCCTTAGGTGAATGCTGAAATCATTCGAGTGGGAAATTAGCATTCCGTGCGAGTTATACACTATAATTTTTCTACGGCTGTAACAGATAACAAAAAGATTTTGGATTTCTTCGTTTGTAGCCATCTGATTTTTTCATAAGTAATGCTCATCTATCTGACAGAACTGTCATTACCTGAACTTTGACGTGCCATGAATGAGATTTTTCTGAAATAATAACACCATGAAGTCATTGTGATATCCGATACGGAAATAAAATTGATAATATACAAAGTACCTCATTGATTTATCGAACACAGAGAGTTCTTTCATCACTATTGCGGATAAGTGACTCTGACAGCACTAATATGCGTGCGAAAAATATGACTTCTGCGCACGATAGTAAAATAACTATTTTTTTATTCGGGAAATTGAAGATGGCGGATCCAATATGGCGGACGAGTTTTGTCATTATGATTCGATTCTATTCAAAATTGGTATCTGGGGATTTTTGGGGTCGGAGATGATGATTCCTTCGTCAAAATTAGGAAATTCAAGATCCAATATGGCGGACGAGTGTTGTACCATGATCCGATTCTATTGAAAATTGTTTTCTGGTGGTTTTCGGGGTCGGAGATTATGATTCCTTTGTCGAAATCAAGATGGCGGAGTCAATATGGCGAACGAGTTTCCTAATGATGATCTGATACGATTCAAAATTGAAATCAGGGGGATTACTGGATTGGAAATTATGATTACTTCGTCAAAATTAGAAAATTCTAGATGGCGGACGATTTTTGTGATCATGACCCGATTCAATTCAAGAGTTGTGTGTGGGAGTTTTCTGAGTCTAATATTACGATTATTTTGTAAAATTCGGGTGCTTCAAGATGGCACATCCAATATGGCGGACAAGATTTGTAATTATGTTCCGATTCTATTCAAAATTGGGCGTATTCAGGGTCGGAGATTATGATTCCCTCGTTGAAATTTGAAAATACGAGATGGCGAATCCAATATGACGGACGAGTTTTGTAATTATGATCCGATACGATTCAAAATTGTGATCTGGGGGTTTTTGGGGTCGGAAATTATTGATCCTTGGTCGAAACCAAGGAAGATGGCGGATCTGATATGGCGGACTCGTTTTGTAGTTATGATCCGATCCTATCAAAATTTTGTATGTGGGAGTTTTTGGAGTCAGTCATGATGATTATTCTGTAAAAATTATGGAATTCAAAATGGCAGATTCAATATGGCAAACGAGTCAAAATCGGTATATGGGGGTTGTCAGGGTCGGAGATTATGAATTCCTTGGTCGAAATCAGGAAATTCAAGATTGCGGATACAATTTGGCGGACGAGTTTTGTGATTATGATCCGATTCTATTCTAATTGTGCATGTGGGAGTTTTTGGAGTCAAAAATCACGATTATTCCGTGGAAATTGGGGAATTCAAGATGGCGGATCCAATATGGCAGACGAGTTTTGTAATTATGATCCGATTCTATTCAAAATGTGTATTTGAGAGTTTACGGAGTTGAAAATTACGACTATTCCATGAAAATCGGGAAATTCAAGGATGCAGAGCCAATATGGCGGACGAATTTCGTTATTATGATCTCATTTCATTCAAAATTGGTATCTGGGGATGTTTGGGGTCGGAGATTATGATTCCGTCATTGAAATTAGGAAATACGGGATAGCGGATCCGATATGGCGAACAAGTTTTTTAATTACGATCCGATTCTATTCAAAATTGGTATAGAGGGGTTCATGGGGTCGGAGATTATGGTTTTTTCATCGAAATTAGGAAATTCAACTCCACACCATGACAGCTTCTGATGATCTTCAAAGCACAGATACGACCCGTTTCAGAAATATGTTCTTCACATATGAAATTCAGCACCATAACATATGCTGATACAGTGAGATTCATCTTCCATGCAGAAACCAGTCATTTGTCTGGTGGGTAATGCCACACTCACTGATTCTTTGACACTATCGTAACACCATAAGGAAGTCGGTAACTTTACACTTCTCTAATGATTCTTTCACGGAAAATGTTCTTCAGAAATATCTTTTACTTGCAAAACCAGTTAGACGTACTCGATGAGCTCAATCAGCACATTTTTTTGTCGTTATCCTCTAAATATATCGAACAATTCTTTATCGCAACTCGTTTGTCAATAGAATGGCAAGTCTTTCGAATTCTTCACAACAGGAAGTATATTCTCAAGAACTTATTATCCTCAGAGATTCAAAGAAAATTTCAATATCTTCCTTCTCCCTCAATTCTTCCTGAGTACACACGATGGTCCTCGAACATAATAGGGATTTTTTTCGTGCGCTCCAAGAGATGAAAAATAGTAAACTCTCCTCAAAATCAGATTGAACAATTTGATTGGTCTGAATGCTGAGAAGTGGAAGATTTTTTTTTGAATGATGTGCCACTATATGTATTGATTTTCTGGTTGAATACTATCGAACAGGCTTTTTCTATACAGAAATACTTCCAAAAAAGCTGTCGCTCATCCCTACATGTGATTTTAGTTCATTGTCAGCAATGGGGTGCCGCATCACGCCGCCATCATTTTCAAAAATATTTGTTTTGCTATAGAAATGATGAAATTCCATCATGTGTGCGTGATGGAAATATAAAATAGATTCAGAAATATAGATGTTCGTGTCCATTCCTCGAACATCAGATATGACAACATTGCAGGATCTCATTTTGTGTTTTAAATATCAAAATATACAGTTCCGGATCTCAACTTGCATGAATTCGTATCGGATCTCTCATTGTTTGAATAGTATCACAAAAATTCGAATTGAAAAATCTCTTCCCCTCTCTAGGGTTTTGGTTTGAAGAGGATGTTTGGCAACTATTTGTGAAATACATACTCAACGAAGTCCTTCTGTTGTGGTGGATCTCGGGTTGTCCATAATTTATTCGGATCTCGACTTGATACAAAAACATATATATATACATATACATCATATAAAATGAAATAAATAATAATGAAAACAAACAAGAATTAAAAACAATGTTCATGTAGGTGTACATATAACAGAAAAAATCGAATATCACAAAACCTAGAACAAAATAAAACAGTGAAGAAATCAACAAAACATTCATTAGAAAACGGCTATCGACCGGAGAAGTCTTTGAGCCCATGATTCAAATGTCTTTAATGTTTTCTTCAATCTTTGGGCATTTCTACAAATAAATAAGTTTGCTATTTTACCAATGACTATATCTTGAGTCATTTCTCGGTGACAGTGTA